TGGTTTTAAGGCTCGGAATGTGATTACATTTGAGCAATTCTTTTCAGCGAAAAAAAAATGTTTTAACAATAAAATGTCCCAAAATCACAACAGTCGTCATTTTAAAAACTTAAGGACTACAAGACATGTTAAGTCCCTGTGCTCCTCAGAGTCCCAGCAGGAGACCAGTCCCTGTGCTCCTCAGAGTCCCAGCAGGAGGCCAGTCCCTGTGCTCCTCAGAGTCCCAGCAGGAGGCCAGTCCCTGTGCTCCTCAGAGTCCCAGCAGGAGGCCAGTCCCTGTGCTCCTCAGAGTCCCAGCAGGAGGCCAGTCCCTGTGCTCCTCAGAGTCCCAGCAGGAGGCCAGTCCCTGTGCTCCTCAGAGTCCCAGCAGGAGGCCAGTCCCTGTGCTCCTCAGAGTCCCAGCAGGAGGCCAGTCCCTGTGCTCCTCAGAGTCCCAGCAGGAGGCCAGTCCCTGTGCTCCTCAGAGTCCCAGCAGGAGGCCAGTCCCTGTGCTCCTCAGAGTCCCAGCAGGAGGCCAGTCCCTGTGCTCCTCATCCCTGGTCCCTTTGAACACATTCTGTTTCAGTCCCACGCTCTCTAATATTGAGGTAGTTTCTGTGTTTCTTTCGTCTGTGGAGCGGCTCTGACCCACTTTATACAGAACCAGCTCAAGTCTCATGTCATTTAAATGAGATCTCCACAAGTGCAGTCCGGAAGGTTCTGGGACGTGATGATGTCGTGAGGAGCAGGGACTGGCCTCCTGCTGGGACTCTGGGGAGCACAGGTCTGTCTCTGAAGCAGCTCAAATCCAGAGTTTATGGAACATTCTTCTCTTTCTCATGTCTCAGTTTTCTCCTGCTGTGAGACAGACTTTGTGTTTCTTTGATCAGACTAATGAAGTACCTGTGATTCAGAACATTGTGCGACACAAAAAAACACCACAAACATTGACTTGATATTATTTGGTGTTTGTGGCACATTCAGGAGAAGTTTCTGCTCTTTTCAAAAGCAGGACTGATCTTGAACGTCCTGCTTCAGTAAAACCCAAATAAATAAGTCCTGGTCGTGATAATCATCATTCTACGGTTCTGCTTTTGCGAACTGTGAAAGTAATTAGTTTTTCACTGAATGAGCCTCAAAAGCAGTAAACATAAACAGATTCTTTCTCCTCTGGCTTATCGCGGCCCAGCAGAGGCTTCAGGGTTTGTATAGATCTTATTTTCTCCATAAAAGTGAGAGTTATCGGTGGACGGCTGCTCTCGTCTCGTTAGCCTCGTTAGCATACGGCTGTAGACCGGACTCAGGAGCGGATCGAACCAGCACCGGGCCCTTTGTCCTTTTCCTGCGTTTACTGAAGAAATACTTATCGAGAAAAACAAGTTGCATTTTTACTCTTTTTTAAAATTCAAAACAAACATCAGCAAAGAACAACTCTAAAAACTCAGGGGCAGAAAAGTGAGAAACCTCTGGAGGTCTAGACCCAAGACTGAGGCTGTAGACCCAGGACTGAGGCTGTAGACCCAGGACTGAGGCTGTAGACCCAGGACTGAGACTGTAGACCCAGGACTGAGGCTGTAGACCCAGGACTGAGACTGTAGACCCAGGACTGAGGCTGTAGACCCAGGACTGAGGCTGTAGACCCAGGACTGAGGCTGTAGACCCAGGACTGAGGCTGTAGACCCAGGACTGAGGCTGTAGACCCAGGACTGAGGCTGTAGACCCAGGACTGAGGCTGTAGACCCAGGACTGAGGCTGTAGACCCAGGACTGAGGCTGTAGAGCCAGGACTGAGGCTGTAGACCCAGGACTGAGGCTGTAGACCCAGGACTGAGGCTGTAGACCCAGGACTGAGGCTGTAACCCAGGACTGAGGCTGTAGACCCAGGACTGAGGCTGTAGACCCAGGACTGAGGCTGTGACCCAGGACTGAGGCTGTAGACCCAGGACTGAGGCTGAAGACCAGGACTGAGGTGTAAACCCAGGACTGAGGCTGTAGACCCAGGACTGAGGCTGTAGACCCAGGACTGAGGCTGAAGACCCAGGACTGAGGCTGTAAACCCAGGACTGAGGCTGTAGACCCAGGACTGAGCTAGACCCAGGACTGAGGCTGTAGACCCAGGACTGAGGCTGTAGACCCAGGACTGAGGCTGTAGACCCAGGACTGAGGCTGTAGACCCAGGACTGAGGCTGTAGACCAGGACTGAGGCTGTAGACCCAGGACTGAGGCTGTAGACCCAGGACTGAGGCTGTAGACCCAGGACTGAGGCTGTAGGACTGAGGCTGTAGACCCAGGACTGAGGCTGTAGACCCAGGACTGAGGCTGTGACCCAGGACTGAGGCTGTAGACCCAGGACTGAGGCTGTAGACCCAGGACTGAGGCTGTAAACCCAGGACTGAGGCTGTAGACCCAGGACTGAGGCTGTAGACCCAGGACTGAGGCTGTAGACCCAGGACTGAGGTTTACAGTCCGATGCTGACCTCAGACTTACACATGAACATAAAACCTTCTGTTTTCCGCGTCTCATGTTGTTAATCTAAATAAGACCCTCTCTGCTGCTTTTTAAACACTAGAACATAAAACCTGTCCTCACGGCGGTTTGACCCCACACACGTAATGGACAAAGTGTAAAACTAGCATACATTCATTTTCACATAATACACAACATTAAAACACAATATTATTAGTTATTAAATCAAAATCAATATAATCTGATTAATATTCTTACTTTACTAGAAAAAAACATGGCATACTTACTAAAATATTGTTATTTTTAAGGTGGAACACGGAGCAAGCGACTGTGACCGCGTGGATCAGTAAAGTCCAAGTTTTAATTCCTCTCTCTCTCTTTTCAGTTACGACGTGTCCATCCTGACCTCGGCCTGTCACGGCGGCTCGCTGATGCGCCACGCCGACGCCCACCCCTCGCTGTACGCCATGGTCCAGAAGCCACACCCCCTCGGCCACCAGCCCGCCGCCTGCAAGGGAGACATGGCCGCCATGATCGAGGACAAGAAGTTTGAGGCCGACCACGACCGCGACGGCTTCCCCTACGACACGCTGCACATCTACGGCTGCGAGGGGGCGGAGTCTGTGGCCGGCAGCCTCAGCTCTCTGGAGAGCTCGTCCACCGGCTCCAACTTGGACTACGATTTCCTCAACGACTGGGGCCCTCGCTTCCGGACCTTGGCGGACCTGTACGGCGTGAACAGCCACGACTATTACCACCAGTATTAAGGTGGAGCCAAACACACGGTGGAGCCATAAAGACTTTGACGATTGGAAGACGCACCCGTTGTTTTCGCAGTTCGTGAAGAGTCCGGACAGCCATGTTTTTTTCTACAAGTGAAGAGTTGAGCCGTTTCTGATGTTTGTCTGTGATCTGAGCGAGGACTGCTAACCTGCGAAAGACTCTACACCCCAGACGCTTTTGGGGGTTTTTTTTTACGTTTTTTTTCATGAAATTCTATCTGTTATGGAGCTGCAAAGTGCCTGCCAACCTCATAGATCCAGAAATCAAACTCTCTTCATTTTTCCCCCGGAGCGATTCTTACAAAGTGATGGAAAAGTTTGAAAACAATTGTTCTATGTGCATAAGATCAGAAGACTCTAAAACCTCCAACACAGCACAGTCTGACTTATTACCCACAAACGAGTTGGTCTTGTCAGGCTCCTCAACTCAATTTCTTCTGGTATCGCCTTAAATCACAACAGTAGTTATCTAAAAAGACTTGATAAAACTATCGATTCGTCAACTCAGATCAGAGAACCAACCAGTTCAAACACACAACACGAGAGAGACCAGTTCGCCATAAGTGTTGTTGAACGTTTGAGTTGTGATTGTGCGTTCGGGCTGTAAACCGTCACGCTCATGGCTGACGTGACCATTAGCCTTGTTAGCCTTCGTTAGCTCTCCACACTTTTGAGATTGGGATTTTAATCAGAACTCCAAAGGGGAAAAACGAAGCAGGTTTTAGTTTGTTAACCAGAAGTTTGCAGCTCCATAAACACAGACCATGTAAAGGCCTGGACATACACTGTTTTCTCTTTTCTATGCCACACTGGGCTCAGTAGTAGTTAGGAATTATTTAGAAACATGTAAATTACTGCATAATTATTCTCATTATTTAAACTCCCTATTTACTTTGCACTGATCGGTAAAGAGGATTGAACTGTGAGGAATGAGCTGGCCTTGTCCTGTCTCGTCTTTCCCCAGTCCACTCTCTCCTAATTAGTCCAAAAGGCAAGAAGAAAATGGCTCTGATTGGGTTTTTGAAGGTTCCGTCCGTCTCCGGTGGACGTTGACAGGACTCGAACCCAAAAGGGACGCACAGCAACGCTCTGACGCCGTAGAAATCTGTTCCACAGGAGAGAAGTTACGGGGTCTGTTGTCAGTGTCTTTGGAGATTGGGTTGCCACGGCGACCGCTAGCTAGCCTTGTGTTGTCATTTGAGGGTTGGTTTGACATGCCAAAGTCGGTGCGCTGCTGAAGTGGGAGAAAGATAACATTAATTACCCTTCAAAGGGGACGGACGCCGCGCTGTATTAACGACTTATCAAGATTTCAGTGAAAATCAAAAGGAGGGCCTCGAGAATCAATCTGCCTGAAAAACAGCAAACGATAAAAACCTGAAATTCTGAAGGTCTTTGTAAACTGTGTAAATATTCTGCCTTCTCTCAAATGTGAGCGCTCCGTGACATGTTTAAAGGGGACGTACTGTGACGGATACAGACTGGATTTTTCTCAGATTTAGACCGTGCTACAGCTGCTTTTCTTTGTCTTTCACACTCATGTCTGTCTCGTTTGACCGGTTGTTAAAAATGCGACCAAAGCTACCAAAAAGTGCCTCTATGAAGTGTATGAATTGTATATCAATGACTTAATAAAGGTTTGAACCCTGAACAATCTTACAAACATGTACGGCTTAATTTGCTCTAAATCTACAATCAAGCTTAAGTAAAACAGCTTTGGTACCACACTGTGGGGAGTTTTAGAAAGATAGACCCCCTGCATTCATACACACATATACAAATACATATTTCTAAAAGACAATGGCATCGCCTGCACATGGAACAGTCCATGTGCAGGTGAGAGGGGAGTGGTTGGAATAGTCCATGTGCAGGTGAGAGGAGAGTGGTTGGAATAGTCCATGTGCAGGTGAGAGGAGAGTGGTTGGAATAGTCCATGTGCAGGTGAGAGGGGGTGGTTGGAACAGTCCATGTGCAGGTGAGAGGGGGTGGTTGGAACAGTCCATGTGCAGGGTGAGAGGGGAGTGGTTGGAACAGTCCATGTGCAGGTGAGAGGGGAGTGGTTGGAACAGTCCATGTGCAGGTGAGAGGGGGTGCTTGGAACAGTCCATGTGCAGGTGAGAGGGGGTGCTTGGAACAGTCCATGTGCAGGTGAGTGGGGGTGCTTGGAACAGTCCATGTGCAGGTGAGAGGGGAGTGGTTGGAACAGTCCATGTGCAGGTGAGAGGGGGTGGTTGGAACAGTCCATGTGCAGGTGAGTGGGGGTGCTTGGAACAGTCCATGTGCAGGTGAGAGGGGAGTGGTTGGAACAGTCCATGTGCAGGTGAGAGGGGGTGGTTGGAACAGTCCATGTGCAGGTGAGAGGGGGTGGTTGGAACAGTCCATGTGCAGGTGAGTGGGGGTGCTTGGAACAGTCCATGTGCAGGTGAGTGGGGGTGCTTGGAACAGTCCATGTGCAGGTGAGAGGGGAGTGGTTGGAACAGTCCATGTGCAGGTGAGAGGGGAGTGGTTGGAACAGTCCATGTGCAGGTGAGAGGGGGTGGTTGGAACAGTCCATGTGCAGGTGAGAGGGGGTGGTTGGAACAGTCCATGTGCAGGTGAGTGGGGGTGCTTGGAACAGTCCATGTGCAGGTGAGAGGAGAGTGGTTGGAATAGTCCATGTGCAGGTGAGAGGGGGTGGTTGGAACAGTCCATGTGCAGGTGAGAGGGGGTGCTTGGAACAGTCCATGTGCAGGTGAGAGGGGAGTGGTTGGAACAGTCCATGTGACTTTTGTTTTTGATCCTTTTTTCACTGATAAAACTTAAAGGAGACCTATCATGAAAATCAACGTTGTCTTTTCAGCTTTTCTCCTTGTTCCAACATGGTTCCTCGTCAGTCAGGAGTTGTTTTTAGCTCCATCCACGCTCATACCAGGAACAGCGAGCGCCAACATGTAGCTCCGCCCCTTCTGTCCAATTACTCCTATCTCAGTCCTTAAATATGAGGTAATAATTGCACACATTCTGACTCAACAGGACTCTCCAGTGGGACCAGAACCATTTAGTCTTTTTTGAAGAAGAAATCTAGTTCTAAGGCTAATTTTTTCATCCTTTTAGCAGTGATGTCATGATGAGGCGGAACACGTCTGAGCTGGAGCCAAAACAAACGCCGTGTTGTGTTTTGTGTTTCCGTGTGGCTAACAGTTTAGTCACATGACCTCCTCCACCGCTCCAGTTTGGCGTCTGCTGCGAGGACTAACAAACCCCGTGATTCGGTCCAGATCGCACACGTCAGAAACCAACTGCTTCTCACTTCTGCTTCTGAACTTTCCATCCTCGGCCTGTAATCGTTTCGTTCTCTGATGTTTCTTCCAAAGTAAAGCGTCGCAAACAACGGCGGCTCTCGGGGTTCGATCCGGAGCTGATTGCATTTGTAAATATGGATTGTCATTGTTTTGAAATGGAACCACCTTTGAGCATTTGCAGAAGTCAGAGAGAGACAGGAGGTCGTTTGATCGCGTCCTCTGCCTGTTTATGGATTCAAGAATTTAACTTTTAACGCAACCGTTTTTAACCAGGACTTCTGAAAACCATGATGTGTGACGATCTAAGGCTTAAAGACTAAACCCACATTATATTTACCACATTCTACAGTCAGCGGTTGGAAAATATATCATTTAAACATGTCTTTGTATGTACGCAAGCCAGTTTTCAGCTACAGAAAGTCCTCATTTTGACCATAAACCCAAAAGGACAAGTTTTAAACAATCGGTCTATGGTAGAGTCCGGTCTCTTCAGCCGCAGAGGAAACAGTAGCAGAGAGAGGTGCAGACAGAATGACTGCTCTTTCACGTCCGTCAGGAGCAAACAGGAAGTGGGCAGCGGTCTGAGCTTTGACCGCGATGGTTTTGACCTCCGCCCGCTGGTGTCTGACTGACAGGATTCATAATCAGAGGTGAGGAAGGTTAAAAGCACTCTGAAAGCAAAAAGAACAGAGAGAGAGACCAGAGAGAGAGACCACAGAGAGACCAGAGAGAGACCAGAGAGAGACCAGAGAGAGACCAGAGAGAGACCAGAGAGAGACCAGAGAGAGACCAGAGAGAGACCAGAGAGAGAGCAGAGAGAGACCAGAGAGAGACCAGAGAGAGACCAGAGAGAGACCAGAGAGAGACCAGAGAGAGACCAGAGAGAGACCAGAGAGAGAGACCACAGAGAGACCAGAGAGAGACCAGAGAGAGACCAGAGAGAGACCAGAGAGAGACCAGAGAGAGACCAGAGAGAGACCAGAGAGACCAGAGAGAGACCAGAGAGAGCAGAGAGGGAGACCAGAGAGAGACCAGAGAGAGCAGAGAGAGAGCAGAGAGAGACCAGAGAGAGACCAGAGAGAGACCAGAGAGAGACCAGAGAGAGACCAGAGAGAGAGACCAGAGAGAGCCCAGAGAGAGACCAGAGAGAGACCAGAGAGAGACCAGAGAGAGACCAGAGAGAGAGACCAGAGAGAGCAGAGAGACCAGAGAGAGACCAGAGAGAGACCAGAGAGAGAGACCAGAGAGAGCAGAGAGACCAGAGAGAGACCAGAGAGAGAGACCAGAGAGAGACCAGAGAGAGACCAGAGAGAGACCAGAAAGAGACCAGAGAGAGCAGAGAGAGAGCAGAGAGAGAGACCAGAGAGAGCAGAGAGAGAGCAGAGAGAGAGCAGAGAGAGAGACCAGAGAGAGACCAGAGAGAGAAAGCTGACACACAATTTCTCCATGAAAACAAGACTACTACTTCCATACTGAAATGCTAACAGATGCTAACAGCATCTAGCTGAATAAATATTTTTTGTACTTGAAACCACACATTTTACTCACCTCTCTCTGTTTAATCTTTCTATGTTTTGTTGTTCTTGGCGTATCCCACGAACTCGAACTTAAGTGTCCTTTCAGCACACGGGGCGCCATGATAACTAATTGAGAGCGGAAAAACTCAACCAGAAGTTTAACAGTCATATTTGATACAGCCAATGAAAACAGTCGGTCTTGAGCAAGTTTCTCTTCAGCCAATAAGAACAATTTGCCTTGAGTACGTTGTACGTACGTTGCGCGCCGTGCGCGCCCAGCGCCCGCCGCCATCTTAGTTTTTTTTCAAAAAGCAACACTTGAGCTGAAACAACCTAGCGCACTTAGATTTACGGTAAAGAGAAAATGCTTCCGTTCAAGTTTCCGATTTTTTATTTCCACAACGAGGTCGTCAAAGTGGAAAGCACTTCTTTAATAGTTGGAAATATTGGCAAATTCAATCAAATTAATTCTCGGCCTGATTTGACCGATGAGAATTGGTTAGAACTCAAATGTCCGTCGAGGAAGGAGCCGAAGAAAACGGAGGCCGTCAAAGTGTTACTCTTTGGGGGTAAGCTGCAAAAAAGTTAACGCTAGTCTTTATTTGTGTATGTACAAAATTACATATGTACTTACAGATTCTTTTAAGGAGTTGATCCAAAAGAAGAACAAATTCATTATAGGAGGAGACATTTGGCCCAAAGATGACATGAAACCCAGAGAGGCAAACATTGGCCAGGTAAGCCTTGTTTTTATTGTTGCGTACACCTTTACATTTTAAACATTAGTATGAAATATAAGGGTACACTAGTGAGTGCTAATTACAAATTACATTAATTTAAACAATCTGGATTATAGGACGTAATGTTCCAGTGGAATGTTAACCTTGCTAACGTCATGCTGCTGTGTGCGCTCGAATCATTTCGAACTGCACAACAATATATCACTTGTGATTTTAGTCTGGTGTTAGCCAGGCTAGTGGAATGTAACAATTGACATTAGACTGTTACCATGGAGAGCCGCCATTAGTTTTACATGTACAATTTAGATAATCTACCTTCCTACCTACCTCAGTATTTTTGAATTATTTGTTTATTTGTTTTTTGTTTGTTATTTGTAAATCATAACACTTTATTATATTAAGGTGTTTTATTAACATAAATATCTATTGTTTTTGTAGGATAAAAAAAAGAAACAAAAGTCTACCCGACAAGAAGCAAGGGACAAAACTCTCGCCAAATTAAAAGACACACTTTCACAAAAGAGGTCTCTGCAAGCATCTGAAGAGTTGTTCAGCAGCTCTGACGATTGCCAGACACCTGTTCGCAAGGTTGGGTCATTTATTTACACATTAACAATCCCTGGTGTAAAATATTACATGTAATTTTTGTTTTTTTTTTTGCTAAAGAAAAGAATGCGGATACAGCAGTTCTCACCGCAGCCCAGTTCAGATGATACAGACATTGGGAGCCCACCCCCTTTGCAGATTGTAAGTTGTGGTTAATATAAGAAAACCATATTGGACTTTGGCTTACCATAACATATTCTAACATGATTAATGTGTTATAGATAAAAAACTTAGAAGAAAGTTTGCATGTCAATCCAGAGGTAAGTTCTAATGTTATTTTTTGTGGTCTTCGTTTTGATTGTTGGAATTAAATTTTTCTCTAGACAGGGACTGATGCTCAAGATAACGCTGTGCCATCAATGGCAGAGATTATCGGGTGTCTTCGTGGTATGTTTTGTGGCTCTTTCATGAAAAGCTATGTCTATTCTAATGTTAATTTGGTTTATATATTATTCGTACATTCTCTGTTTTTCAAGAACTCCCAGAGACACTGCGATTAATGAAGGAGTGTGTGGAGAAAGTGAACACATCACTGTCCCATACTTCTTCAACCAATGTTTCTGTGTCATCAACGTTTTCTTCAGATGCTGATGGTGATGGTGATAGTGAAGTGGTAGGTATACTGTTATACCATGTAGTATACCACGAACAAATGATTTTTTTTTAAATAAATATGATTCAATCAGAAAAGCCAAAGACAAAATGTAATTTATTTTCATTTTCTGTGTCTGTTTCCCTACAGCACTTTCTACCAGGGAAGACGGTGGCAGTTTCTAAAAGGGCTTTTCTTCGTTTGAATCGAACACGGATGACCGTTTTCGCCCAAGAGTTAGCGGTGCTTCTTTTTTCAAAGGACACTCTGGCAAAGTCAACTTTAACTGGAAAGTATGGAAAAGAAGAAATGGCCAAAGGTCAACTAGATGTGATCAAAGTCCAGGCCATTACAGGTAATTTCACCTGTTAATCTTAATTAAAAAAAGAAAAGAAAAAAATATTAATATATGAACTTAAACGTGTCTTATGTAGGTGTGCTTCAAATATACACAATTCTAAATAAGTCCATTCTCAGTCATGTGACTTTTGGTTGGCAATCTGCTGTTTAGGACTATGCCTATTTAAATGAAACCTCAAAGTTCTAAAAAGCTGACTGACAACCAGAATGACAGCGACTGAGGAATGCTCTATAAACAGAGTATGTTAAGAACATGAAAAGTACTTTTGGAATGTATCTTTGAAATTCATAAGGGTTAATACTAACACAGTTGTGTCTAGTTAGTTCCTGGATAGGAGAACATGAGGGCTTATGAGTGGTTAATAGTGGTTGAACTGTCTGTTGCTTCTCAGCGTACACTCATGAATATACAGGTGAAACTCACAAAATTAGAATATTGTGCAAAAGTTGATTTATTTGTGTAATTCAACATAAAACGTGAAACTAATATATGATGTAGAGACTCGTTACATGCAAAGTGACATTATGTCCTGCCATTGTTTCAAATAATTTCGATGATTATGGTTTACAGTCCATTTTCAAAATCTTCTACTTTTCAGAAATTTTTAATTTGGAATTTTTACAAGCTGAGCCATAATGATCAAAATTGCATCAAATTAAAGGCTACATATATCACTATGCATGTAATGAGCCTGTCATATTAGTTTCAGATTATAAATTGGATTACAGAAATGAAAGCACTTTTTAACGATATTCAAATAGCTTACAAGTGAGTGAAAAACATTCCCATATCTTGTTTGAAATGCTGTACGTGACCTGTGTCATGTGAAAAGCTCTGTACAAATTTGATTTCCTTCCCCTAATACATTGATAACTTGTATGAAGTGCATATAAATGCGATTTACATTAATATTACTGCATTGGTCATATTTTTTGTATTGATTAAGTTTTCATGTGCAGATGCTGTAATTGAAGAATTTCCGGGATCCACAGTGTCTGAAGTTCGTGCTGCCATAAGAAGAAAGTGCAACAATGAACATTTCTCACATAAGAGGCCATAGATGTTTTGGTTGAAATAATAAGGTCACATTGTTTTTGTTTTTGGTCTTTTATCTTCCAATTTATTTAACCTAAGATCAAAAAGTTCAAGGTGTAACTTCTAAGTACATTTCCTTTATAATTAAATGTATTTTTTGTTTGTTCAAAACATAAATACAAATAAAGTATATTTGTAATGGTGGAAGTCTTTGTGTAATTGATGTAGATTAATGTACTATAAACACATATAAATATTTGAAATTACAATAAAATGCAATGCAATAGCCTTTCCAATACACTTTCAATTACATAGAAGTAAGTAAGCTAGTAAGTAAGCTTTTATTTATATACCGCCTTTTCACTGCACATCGGAGTCTCAAAGCGGTATACAATTGTTGGGTGGGGGTCGCCAGAACAGGAGGCACATGCCAGACCTATTGTACATATTTTTAGTGGTAGGGGAAACCGGAGCACCCGGAGGAAACCTACGCAGACACGGGGAGAACATGCAAACTCCACTCAGAAAGGCCCTGGCCCAACCGGGATTCGAACCCAGGACCTTCTTGCTGAGAGGCGAGAGTGCTATCCACTCAGCCACCGTGCCGCTAGTCTAGAAGAGTATTTCGAATACATTATTAGTACACTTTAAATACAATGGAAGTGCAATTAGATTATATTAATCGAGGACAAGATTGTCACCTGTAATAATATACTTAAAATGTACAAAGTATACTTAGAATTGTTCCACTTTAGTACATAAAAATGCATTAAGAGTACTTAGAATACAATTTAATTTCTATTTATGAGCAATTTAAATGTATTTAATACAAAAAAGTTGTTCCAAAATAGCACAATTAAAATTTACTTTATCAGAATATACTAAAATATATTAAAATATACAGAAATTAAATATATTTAGTATATTTTTTTTTCACCAGGGGAGGGACAATAATAGTCTATAGATTCGATTTATTTACCATTTGCAGTAAAACCACATGTAGTGAGATCCTCAGGGAAGAAAGACTCAGAGATACTGAGTTAACCAGGACTAGTCTATAAGATTATTGAATGACAAGTATTTATGACATCCTGCCCTTGCGCATCTATAAGAGCTCTGTGCTGAATGTGTTCTTTGTCAGTCATTCATACCATCCTCATTCTCTGAGCTGACCCAGGCTGAACGTGCTAAGCCTGAATTGGACTTGATGTATTCTGATTATGCCATTAAACTCTTTCTTTAATACATAACTCAGAGTGCATTCCTTCTCCAACACTATACTGGTTTGTGCGGGAAACCCCATCTTCTGCGGAGAAGAAGATACAACAGTACGTTTACGGTTCACAAGCTACGTTTACGTTTCACAAGCTACGTTTACGGTTCACTAAATAGTTTCTGCTGATCTGTGACCGGAGACTGGTGATGTCAGCGGGCTTCGTTACACGCCAGATCCCCGGAGAGGCGAGCCCACGGCCAGTTTTAGTCTATAGCTACAGCACATGACAGAGATACTCGAAGCAGACTGGGATAGTCACAAATGTAGAAGTTAATGGGTCAAAATATCAATAATATGGAAGAAAAGTCTGACATCATGGTGCGTTGGAATTCCCTCTGGCCTTTGTCGACCTAAACTCGTAACTAACCCTCTTCTAGACCAATCTATCCTTCAAAAACCTATTCTTTCCTCCATGGAAAATAAAAGTGGTGCCAAACATGTGTCTTCTCCTTCCACAGCGTTGTCCGTGGCATAGTTTATGACTAAGAAAAAGAAAAGCATGAGTAAACCCATTCTAATGTAGATTCTATCCAAATAATGTACATATATATACATCTATGTAGAAACATTTAGCAGCATTCTCTCGGCGCTCGCTGGGAGATGCAAAGGGCCGACAAGTGCAATATTTTATGAATGAAGTTCCGTTGTAAATAGACTGGCCTGGGTTGGAATGGAGCGGCCTCAAGCGCTGAGTGTGAGTGCAGAAATACAAGTGAAATAATTGGTGTTTGGTACAATGTATCGGCGTGCTATGACCCCCGACCCCTCCCCTCGCTCCCCGTCGCTGATGAACCATTTCAGTGTTGTGTGGGTGACTGTCCCATAGAAAAGAGCTTTGAACACCATGTGTGTGTGTGTGTGCTGAATGACCATGTGACATCACACACCAGTGTAACACATTTGTTTTGAAATGATAATGAAGAATAAAGAGTTATCTGGGAGACGTGGTGTTGTGTGGTGTGTTCAGACGGACATTTAGGCCTTTGATGTTAGCCAGCTTTATTTGTATGGCACACTTCATAAGATCCTAGATGTTTAGTCATCACAGAACATTCAAAACACCTCCTGTCCACAACGGCGGTACGGCGGTGGAAAGAGCATGGCTCCTAAACCTAATATGGCACTACTGGAGGAGGAAATCGGCGGACTAAGAGATACAATGAAGGAAATGGCAGAAGAGATGAGGAAGATGTCCAGCCGCCAGGAATGTATAGTGGAACTTATGGAGGAAGTTAAGAAACTCCGATTGGAAAGCCAAGAGAAGGACAAACAAATCGCAGCGCTAGAGGTGCGCTTTGCGGACCTCGAACAATACTCAAGAATAAATGACATGGTGATTACTGGATTAGACATTAAACCCCGGACCTACGCCCGTGCTGCAGCGACTGAACTGAATCAACCAGACCTCGTTTCTGTTGAACACCAAGTTATAGCTTTTCTGGATTCCAGAGGCATAACAGTAGACAGCAGAGACATTGAGGCACCCCCTGCAACGAAAAGGTACGCAGGATAAACCACCTGTCATTTTGAGATTTGTCAACCGAAAAGCTAAAAGTGCACTGATGAAGCAAGGGGTGAAATTGAAAGGTACTAATGTTTACATGAATGACCATTTGACAAAAAAGAATTCCGACATAGCAAGAGAAGCAAGAATTCTGAGAAAACAGAACAAAATACAATCAACTTGGACATACAATTGTCGTGTATACATAAAACTCAATGGTCCACCAGAACATGCTCGGGTGCAGTGGATCAGAGAGGGCAAGGAATTGGAGCAATTTAAGTGATTTAACTAATGATGATGATAAACCAAATAAACAAAACAATGGTTTATGAAAATGAATTTAAAAACATATTTACTAGTGTCAATGATATCGAATTTGAAAATACAAGTACAAATAATGATAATCCTGATCAGTTTAACTGTGATATAGATCCAGATAATGACCTTTATAACAATATAAGCAGTAACTGCAAGTATTACACAGACGAAACTTTCAAATGTGTGAAAATGGAAAGAGCGTTTACAATAATTCATATCAACAGCAGAAGTTTGTTTAAAAACCATGAAAACATCAGACAATATCTGGATCAGTTCAAAAAATTCAGCGTCATCGCAATTTCAGAAACGTGGCTTGATGACGAAAAGAGTTGTGAAATCAAATTGGACTGTTACACATTATTTACTACACACCGGGTTGGGAAAAGAGGAGGCGGGGTAGCACTCTTTGTAAATAGGGATTTAAACTGTAAAAAGATTGATAGTAGATCTACCACCATAGACGGAGTCTTGGAATGCTTAACAGTTGAAATCGAGGTTAAAAAATCCCGGAAGATAAATGTCAGCTGCTTG